TGAGTAAAGATTCTTTAATATTATGTGTGACTTTTTGCCCGATTATGTCGTCAAATATTTTTTCTGTGCAACAAGTCCGCGAAATTTTTGAACGGCCCTCGTACAAGTATACAAGTCATCTATATAAAAATCTAAATTAAATGACTTACAAAGTAGTGTAAAAGGTGAAGTCCATTCTAGTAAAGAACATTGCACAAACAACTCCAGAGGTAGGATCAGGTGCATAGGAGGTGTAACCATTCCGTTTCAACTGGTCACACCCGCAGATAGCCCTATGTATTGATCAGACAGAAGGAGTGCTTCGTAGTCAAATTTAGTATTAAAACAGTGACCTAACAATTGGTATGAAACATGACAGTCGAAATACGACCAAACGGTAGGTTTTATTTGCAAGCAAGGTCATTATAACGACCATAGAATTTGCGAAATGTTTATTTTAAACGAGATTGTTGAAATCCCTGTACCATCAACTTATTTGTCAGTAGCCTTCCTCAGTTTCAAAAATGATCGTACTCAGAGCATGCTCTTGTGTATTGAATCAGTTGGAAGACAGAAGCACCATATCAGGTGATGATGGAATATTACTACATAAAGAAGAGATGTTGACTATTGAAAAGCCGAAGTTTTCCCGTTTGTCATACAGTTAAGTTTTTATTGGCCATCATAATCTATAGTCAGGAGTGTTTAATTGGAAAAAGTGAATAAACAATGTTACCATAAAAACCAGCCTTAAAGCAGGTATAAAATTCCACAAATTTGCAAAGTTTAAATTACTGAAGGCATCAAGTAAATTTTCAAATATGTACTTTGAATATATTGAAGAAATTATCAAATGAATAAATAAAAGATAAAACGTATCAAGCTGATTAGCACATGATTGATTGAATTATTTAAGCAAAATATTCAATGACTACTTGTATTATGTCCTAGCAGAATGTTTTTTTCTTGTCCAAGAATCTTATTCATAAAATGAAGCGCCAAATATTGGCCGTAGACTAGACAATGCATTAAGGGTTCTCCAATGAACCAGTGCTCACTTTGGTGAACTCTGTTTAAAAAAAATTGATTCGACATGCAATGTCTAATTAAATCAGATAGTCGTTAGATTGTACTCATGGAAACGAACACGTGAAACACGTGACACACGAATTCTGAACATGAGACAAATGCCATATCATTGAGTCAATAGAGCAGTCCAGAATTTACTTGTAGATGTATGTTTCTCCAGTATCGCTGGTAAATGGTTATTTTGTCGACTTACCTTTTCTTTAACACATCGATCATCACTTTTTACAGAGATCAAAACTGTTTTTTTTTTTTCTGAAATGATACACCCGCCGGCATGTTCATAAACGATATTAAGATTATAATGTGCCCAAAGAACCTCTAATTGTTAAGAAATGTCTTAGTCTTAAGTAAGATTTTTCAGCTTTCCTAAACTTAGGGTCTCGCCATAAGGTAGTTTTAACTTTAGAAAAATCTTGTAAAATCATTTGAAGTTGATTTTTGCCTTTCCGCTTGTGTAAAAGTATTATTTTATAATGTGAAGTATCACTGTGAATAATGACTTTAAATTTAAGGATGTTACATTATGTAATGCAGACACCTGTAACATTTAAAACGAAATCAAGTCTCACTTTCAACAAACGAGGAATCTTTTAGTTTATGCCACGGTACTATTAAATGTTGTATTGACGAGTTCATTTATATCTTTTGTTTTGTAAAGATATATACATTGAAATATATAATGGTCATCGTGTAAATGTAAAGTTTTTTCTATGCTTAAATATATTAAGATGTTTATTTGCTGCAAATTCTTTCAAATTATATATATATATATATATATATATATATATATATATATATATATATATATATATATATATATATATATATATATATATATATATATATATATATATATATATATATATATATATTAAAGTATAGCAACAAGAATTTTCTTACTTAAGATGTTCCAAAATACCGTTGAGCTACATCTAAAGATGATTAAGATGTTTCTGATGATATGTGAAGATAACGAACAGTAATCAAGTTCAGTTGAATGAAATTCAATTAAACAATACAGATTGTGAGCAGAGGAAACACAAACCTCTGAAAACAGAGGTGGAATCAGATACCATGTGAGCAGTGTGTCCCTTGTCATTCGGGTAAACGGGAAAATCTGAAAACAAATCGAGGTGAAAATAGTAGACTAATAATTTGTATGAAAGACGTCAGTCAACATTCGACCTAAATAATATATTGTATTTGCAAACAAGGTCATTGTACCAACTATAGAATTTCCAAAATTTTTACTTTAAACGAGAGTTTTGATGTTCTAGTATCATCAACTTTTTTGTCAGTAGTCTGCCTCGTTTTGGAAATTGTTTGAACATATGTTTTTGCTTATCGAATCATCTTGGAGGTATAAACCCCATACAAGAGATAATGGTGTATTGCTACATAAATAAGATGACGATAGATAAGTTGAAGTCATCACATTTATCATTACTACTTGTTTGTTTGTCTCTCTATAGTAAAACATCCAAACATGAAACAAATGTGTCAAACTCTGTGGTGTCTGTTATTTCGAGTCCAGTGGGATATATCTAATCAACATAGGCATGAAAATGAATACCGTCTATTGATAAAACTTCATCTATGTATCTAAATGTCAAATTGAAGGCTACAGTGAGAAACTTCTTCTTTTCAAGTAGAAGTTTTTTGAAAAAATTCCGTTTCATACGAATGCAAAAAAACAGGTCTTCTAATAACCAGGTTTATGATTTTATATATCTAGAGGGAAAAAAAACCATTCGATTCAAATTAATAGGAAAAGTATCGTCTAAAGAGGAACGTTTAGTAAATTTTTGCTCCTTTTTTTTTGTCATTTGATGATGGATTATTTTTCATTACTTTATGAATGTTTGGTTTTAATTTTTTGCCATTACTTCTCCTTTTTTTAGTTTAATTTGTAATCTTTTAATTGTTTCGTTAATTATATTTGCCCTGTATTATTGTAATTACTGTTATTGCAGAAATCAGTATATGACTTATTTGTGTTATTCTTCGACTCATTTTTATATCTAAAGACTATAATATTTTTTTCATCTGAAGCAGTCTGGTAAACTTTTGAACTTTCGTGGTTTAATGTCAGGGCAAGGTTTTTATTTCAGCCTTCATTTAAATGATGACCTTGCAATATACACTGCATGGGTTTCGTTGCTGATATTTTTAATAGAAAACTTTGGTTCATTTTAATTTTACTGTTGTTTCCAGATTACGTATACCCCCCTCCCCCCTTTAAAAAGCTAAGGGAAAAATGGAATATCTTTTGAGTACATTAATGTTTGTAAAAAATGTCAAATGAACTGAATGGTGTGAAATATCAGATGACACGCAAAGTTTACTGAAAAGAATAAATTTTACCCCCAGGTAAGCAAATAAAAATCATCTTCTTTAATGTGAATGCATTCAAAACTCTTGCTTCTGAGTGACACGTGCCATAAACTTATAAACTTCATCTGTTACATCCCCTGCAATGAAGCACCTGTCAAACAGTGAGATACAGAATGATATATATATATATATATATATATATATATATATATATATATATATATATATATATATATATATATATATATATATATATATATATATATATATATATATATATATATATAGTATATATATATACAACTAAATAGGGGTCTTCTTTAACTTAAATACTGGATAATACACTTCAGATCTCTAGAATTATCACTCAGTGGTCTTACATTTAACCATAAAGTATTAATTCACTGCAATACTTCAAGTTCGTTCTTCTTGAAAGTTGTTATGCAGTTTTTGTGAGGGAATTTTTTTTCAGTGGTGATAAAGTGCACCTTAACCGGCCATTTTTTGTGTATCGTTCTGGATTTTGAATTTTGAAAGAGGCATCTAGCCAATAAAGCTTTCGTTAAGACAAAAATCACCAAAAAATATAATTTACATACATTATGATTGGTAAGAATTTTTCGTAATCCGAGTAGGTTTTCGTTATGATTTAGATAGATTAATTCTGCACAGTTTAAGGTTTCGTTGGATATCAATATACTATGTAGAAAGGTTTAACTAATTAGTAATCTCCTATTATGTTTAACAGGAACCTATGAAGATTTTCAGATATTCTAGTGAAATAAAAAATGAGCACTGTTTCTTTTTCTTACTATTATTTTCAAAGTCCATGTACCAGCATATAATCTGTGGGAATAAAATCAATCCAAAAAAATAAATTAATAAAATAAAATAAAAAAAAAAAAATAGAAAAAAAGCAGAAGTACTTTTTTCTTATAAAGGGGAAAGGGTGTTCGTTTTTATTATATTTGTTTTTTGTTTTGTTTTGTTTAGTCTGGAGTTTGTTTATTTTTATTTTTTCATTGGTTTATGATGTCAGTTGGGCATGATATATAAAACATTTTCAGCATTTTATCTTTTTGACAAAAGCAATTTTGTCATAAAGCATATATTATTCAAGGTTAAAAAAGTATGATTTTCGTGGTCTAAGCCTGATCTCGCCAATCTTAAGCTAAAATTTATGCAATCTTCTTTACTCCTCATGAACCCTATGCAGTCAAACTGTTGGCATAAGTACAATACGCAATGACTCTTTACCAAAACTATGAAATTCTGATACCTTGATCCATAGTCCAGGCCCCAGGTAGGGGCAAAATTAGTCATGTATTAAAAAAAGTATTAAAATTCTCTCTTTACTCTTTGACGTCATTTGCATGATTTAATGAGAAAATCATGTAATTCATGACCCCAGAATTCAGACCTCAGTTTAAAGCTAGATTAACAATATATATATATATTGAAATTGCAGTATATACTGGAAATTCTCTACTGTCAGACCCCAATTTTTTGCATGATTGTAATAAACAAGTGTTTGTGAAAATTATTTTGAACAGTGACATTATGTGCCCTCAAACAGCTAGAATAATATATATCAGAAACAAATTTTTATAAGAAGCCATTTATTTTATCTTATAACAGATATCACAGCTGATTTTACTTAGGCACATAATACTTGTGCAAAAAAAAAAAAAAGGTTAATAGCATCATCGACATATGATTTGTCTAATTTTCCTTTCAACAATTATTTTTTATATGCATTTATTATATTGCTCTGGAATGCAAGTAACGAAAACAAAGTGTACAAAGTTTTCTGCATTAATAAAAAGATAGGTTTGGTTTTCAACCTAGTTGTAGTCTCTGTTGAAGATAACACAGTCAAGTGACCATCTTAAGAATATACATATATTACATAGGCTGTTTTTTGTTTCGTCTTTTCAGCACTTATATCGGAAAACATTGATGAGGAAAAAGAAACTATTTTCACATTATTCATAAGAATAAAAATGACTTATAAAGATGAACAAAATAATAACAGAATACATTACGCAAATTAATTTAACATTTACAGGCTTACATTGAAACAAAACTGTCTCACACTATACAAGACTATAACATGTGCTAAAGGATGTGAAAAAAGAGATCATATACGGATTTTTGTATACATAACAAACAAATGCCCTATTTGACAAATCCTCCTTTGGAGAGGAAGAAAACAAAACAGTCTTGAACTGTTCATTTTCTCTTCACTTGAAAGCACAGCGTAATCTGAACAATAGATACTTTTGGACTCTTTATAAAAGTCCACAAATTACATTGAACAATGAGCACTCCGACCTTTGCGAGGACGGGAAAAAGACGTTTGTTGCTGTAAGCGAGATTATTAACAAACAGAAAATTCGGAACAAAGGAATCACTGGAAAATTATAACTTTTTCCCCGGTTGTACAAGTTGTAACGGAAAGAGTGTGTTGTCCTTATCAAATGCAACAAACTGTAATTTTTTTTACTGCAAAGTAAACCAGATACACGACAGTAAGAGATTAAGCACATCCACAGCGGACGACTTTCATTCTTGGCAGCGTTGTCAACTGAACTCTTGATTGATGATCAAAGTAAAGCATTTTGAGATTCGCCATCCGAGCAGGAGAACAACATGGTCCAGGATTTGTGCTGAGCAGTCTAGACTCTGGAATCTGTTGTACCACGGCGGAATGACCAGATTCGCTCAAACCCTCATCACGGCACTCCCCCGCACAATAATAAGCATCGTATCGTTGTGGCGCAATGACGAAATCCCAACCAAACTCGACAAAATCTACGGTTAAGGGGTAACGACAACATGTATCAAACTGATTCTGTTCATCACAATTCAACGGTGTAGATCTCTTTTCTCTTTGGTTGTGGAGAATCGTTATGGTCTTTATGTCAAGGTTAGGTACCTGAGTATAAAAATGAAATTCTTTTAAGATTCTGAAATTTCGAGTAAAAGTCAATGGTAAAAAAAAAAGACAAAGCCACAGTATTCATAAGCAAAATCGAATGAACTATTATTTTTTGCTAACTTCTATGGTTTAATCGCAAAATAAATTGGCCAATCAACAGACGGCAGCGAAATTTTTATTGTGAAGTTCTTTTTTGTTATTCAAGTGTAGTTTTGTGATTGATTATAAACTTACGAATCATAGTCAAATATCACCGTCTTTGTCTTATCCTTCTAAATCTTACAGAAAATAAGGGACTTATTTAATCGTCTAATTTTTTTTTTTATAGATTTTTAATGTCCATTACCTACATCAATTTTGTTTGAAAATTGTATGACTGAGTTGATTGCGGCATATTCCATCAATGTCTGATGTTCTTACTAAATTAATTGTCTTTTCCTTGAAATCATATCTTTGATATTTGTTTTATTCTAACAAATCTGTTAATTCTGTTCTGTGTCAGTTTTATGACACCCGCACTTCTCCCTCATTTCTCAACCATTTAAGGACATACGCAACTTAGTTAGAGCTTTATTGTCTTTTTCCCTGGAGTTGAAGAGTTCCAATACTTAAAGGAACTTTGTGCTACATTTAATGTGTATATATGCTGTTGTACACTTCTTCAAAAACAAGTTTGGATAAACAAAACAACTAGAATATATGTTTAATGTTTTTTGAATATTTTTTTTTGAATTCTACAAAAATTTTCTTCAATTGATATCTTTTCAAAACCCCTGGTAATGCATGCTGATTTTTTTGTCTACGAACATTTGTTGGCACTCTAATCTTAAATTAAGAATATCTTGAAAAATTATCAGTAGGTAAGGTAAGTTGCGTATGTCCTTTATGTAATTAAATTATCCTAGTAAAGTGTACTCTGCTCTACATAAAAACATCTTTATTTTGTATGCTTCTATTAAAGTTTCTGTAGATATTGAACATCTATGTTATCACAGGTGTATAAATCGTGTCACTGCGATCCTCAAATTAATTAGAAAAACTACTTGTCATCTTCCACAGGTAATTTTGCCTAGGTAGCATAAGAAAGGTTAGATTAATATTTGAATTATATCCATGCTTTATGTCAACATTTGTAGTTGATGGGCGCTTTTTAAATGACTATACGCATGAAACATTTTTTTTTCTCTCTGAGACTTTTAAAAAACCTATACATATATATTTTTTAAGTATCAATAATTACTTCAAAATCTTTATGATCAAACGCTACTGAGGATTATATTGATTGAATATTTGTTTTCAAGATGAATTTGTAACAAAAAATATCTTCGAGAGAATATCTAAAATTGCAAGTTATGTTTATAAAAAATAAAGGAGGAAAATGGATAGGGAACTTAGATATTTTCAAGCGGAAACTAATGACAAATGAGACAACTTACATAACCACTATTATATGTTGTTACACTTGGTAGGACAATCAGATTCTCATTGTTCCCATCAAAAGCTTCCACTACTACACCCAGGTTAGAAGAAGGATCTGAAATCCACTGGTGTGCGAGGTCGGTGATATCAAAATGATGCCAACCACTAGTCTCGGCGATACTTTTTTTCTTCTTTTTCAAAAACCTTTTGACTGGAGGTCCTCCATGTTTCCAAGGAGGGACAAGCTTGTAGAGGAATAGTTCTGACACGTTTTTTGGTAAATTAAATTGTGTACGTGGTGGTGCTATGTAAACCCATAAACGTGCTCGGAGTACTTCTTGATTTTCCATTGCAGGTATGTTGAAGTACACTGCATTTGGTGCCTCGACTGATTGAGACACAGGCGCTGAAATAGGATCAAAATACGATTGGCATGAGCATTTTTTTTAATTTCAAATTTTACAGTAAACTGAATAATCTTTGATTTTGGTTCTCTTCTCAGAAGATGTATCAAGTAGAAAAATAGCTTTCATAATTATTTTTATCTAATTTTTATTAACTTTTCTAGCTAAGGAGTTGGGATTGTGTTACAGGACTGAAATTGCATTTATGCTTTAAAAAGAATCAAGTAGAAATAACTTTTTCTTTTGAGACGAGGCATCAGGAGCAACCGAACATGTATTTATTAATTTAAGTAGATTTCTATCAATTGAATGAAACATTTTAAGAATAATAGATTATACAGTTATAAGTGAGCACGTCTTTTTTTAATCATAAAGTACAAACGGACATGAATTAAGTCTTTGTTAGCAGGCCACTTACGTTCTTCGGAAGATATGAATGTTCTCTCCATTCTACCAAATTCATCTTCTTCGTCTTCGATTTGTTCTGTGTATGAATAGGGTTGGTCGTATTGCATTTCTTCTAAATTTACTTCGTTGTCATATTGACGTCGTAATCTTTCATAGGATGGAATTTTGGGGATTCTTGTGCCTGTTACATTTGGTAACCCTAAAACATCCAATCTTAAAGCATGAGATAATCTACTTTTTATGGAGTTGATCCTTAATCTCTTTTGATGTTCTCGGATGTGACAGGTTGGACATTGGTGTACATTACGATCTGATCCATCGGACGATATTTCTGAATTATCACTGTTTTGTTGAAGAAGACGAGCTAGTTGCTCAAAATCCACATCGCTTGTATTATGTAGTCCACTTGGTTCCATAATATTACTTGCTTGCGGTATCACTGAGCAAATGCCTGTAATTGTTAAATACGTACACGTGTAAATAATTGAGATCAGAATTGAATACATCTTGCACTTTAAAATCAGCTGATAGTATGCGGGATATGCCCCGGAGGAATTCGCGCCGTTTCTTTTATACCAGCGGTCAAGATATACCGGCCGTTATGACAAGAAAACACATGTCGCTCATAAATACTGAAGTGTCTTAAAAAAGACTAAACACGAAATAACAATAAATTCATTGATGCTTCACTTTTTTAAGTGTGGAGCCAGCTGAAAATAAAAGGCATGGTCGTCTGACGTAAGATTTTAATCATCCTGCAGAAGTATCGATCGGGGATAGAAAACATGCATGTTGAAATTGTGAACTTCTCATAACAGAAGGCCGTGACACACATCTTTTATCATTAATTAACAGGTAGTAAAATTTCAACGGGTCAAAGTAGGTCGTTTTGATTAATTTGAGAATCTGAAAAAAGGGGCATCTCATGTGCCGTATTCTGGATGTTCAAAAGATATGCTACTGATAAGTTTCTTCGGTTAAATTCCGCAGTGTACACTCTTTGCTGCGTAAATTCAATTCAGAGTATGATTGAGAAATTTAGAAAAGTTTGTCAAACACTCAATCTTTTTTTTCAAATTACTACTTAAGATATCAATTTTTTAAAGTGGAATAATTGAAAGTTACAAAGAATTAGGTCAAAGATTTTAAGATTATATTTAGTACATATAAAATATTGTGTTTTTTCTTCAGATCTCTGTAATTTACAAACATTAGGCTATTTTAAATACATGTACAGTGCCGAAAGATACAAAAAAGTTCCTAAAGTCTTTGGCAGGAGACTTAATCTTTTAAACAAGAGAGCTAAACACTGATAAACATAACCGTTTAAGACATAGAAAAGGTATCTCGACAGGGGATGCTAACTTCCTAGGAACCTGACCCCACCTATCGGTTTCAAGGGGTCCTTGAACCTTCACGGTAGCTCAGTCGGTAGAGCGCTCGCACCGTGATCGAAAGGTCGTGTGTTCGAATCACGGCCGCGACTGACCTTAGTCGATAAAAATAGGTAGCAGATGTCCCTTCGCCAAGCGCTCGATACTTTGAAGTGAAGGTTGCGGGTCTTTCGGATTAAACCTTAAAAACCGAGGCCCCATGTCACGGTAGCCGTTGGCACGATGAAGAACCCTCACTGCTCAATGGCCCTGAGTGCCGAGTAAAGGTCTAAATTTGAAGCTCTTCACTAATATTAGTGACGTATCTATATGAGTGAAAAATTTTCGAACGGGACGTAAAACAATATACAATCAATCAATCAACCAAGGGGTCCTTGCCTTTGCCCTTTTCACGATATGTATTCTTAACTGGATTTAGTATTTTGGTAACTGTTTGGTATCGTCACCTGAAAAATGGCCGTAGGAACCTGGGGCAAGGATGGAGATGAAAAGGATTGCGTGCCCCCATTTGTAATTTGATTTATAATATAGAAAACATATGCTCAATGCTAATCTCAAATGACATTTTTGTTAGATCGTCAAGGAATTTTGCTTGAAAGCGCCCCCAAACTGAAATGTTTGGTTGTGCCCCCCCCCCCCCCCCCGAAAGAAAGAAATTGCATGCTACGGGCTAGTGAAGTGAATGCCATAGTCTACGTTACATTTAAAACATCTGAGAATGGATGGCGGATAGGATTCCTGCTTATTTCTCAATTTAAAAAAAAAAGATAATGATTTTCAATACTATATTCGCTTAAAAGTATATTTTGTCTATATTTGATACAGTAGACCATAAATATTGATGTCAAATAGCAGATCAAGTTAGAAGATAAAAAATATTCAAATCGGAGATAGGTCCATGTAATGTTTATAAATGTTGAAATAAGAAATTATTTCTGAAAAAAAGAAAAGAAAATGATAAACACCAGTTTACCATGAGAAAATACTTCCCTTTAATATACATTGAAATAAACAGTTGGGTGAAATATGTGGAGATCAGGTGCGATGGAGGAGTGAGCATCCCCTGCCAACCGGTCACACTCGCCGTGTGCTCCTTGTCATGATCGGGAAATAACGAAAAAATCCGTCGACAATTCAGTGTGTAAATAATGGCCTAACAATTAGTATGAAAAAAGTCAGTCAGCATTTGACTTAATGAAAGATTGTATTTGCTGACAAGGTCATTGTATCGACCATAGAACTTACGAAATGATGACTTAAAACGAGACTGCTGATATTCTTGTTTTATCAACTTGTTTGTCAATAAATTACCTCCTTTTAGAAATTGTTCATACGTAGAGCATGCTCTGGCGTATCGAATCAGCTGAGAGATATAAACCCCGTATGCAGATGATAATGGTATATTGCTGCAAGTAAGGGAAGTTGACGATTGAAAAGTTAAAGTCATCACGTTTATCATAAAGCTTTATTGTGAAATAACCATTAACGTTTTTTTCTAAAAAAAATAAATAAATAAATAAATAAATATCCAAATATGAAACAGATGTGTCAGACTCTGTGGTATCAAGCTCACCGGGATATATCGTGTCGACATAAGAATGGAAATAACCATTGTTAATATTAATATTAATTTTATCCATGTGTATAAGGTGCTCGATTATGTACTTTCTTTTAGGTATGATATCCCTTTTTGTCATTAACGTAAAAGTTTAATAATCTTTCAAAAGGGGAAAATACGTTGATATGCATTGAGGCAGATCGATACATTCAATGACAGTAAATTGATTGAAGGGATTTTCTTTATTACAATTACCCGCAATACAGAAATAAAAACATGGTCGGAGATTAAGTATCCTTCGTATACGTAGTTTAGAAAATCTTTTCCACGAAGTAAGATACTCGTTTGGAGTAGTTAAAGCAATATGAGCCGCATTTTTGAGAATTTTATTTTGCTGTTATGATAAATTTGTATGTAATTTACACCTTTTAGATCAATAAGACTAAATTAAGAAAGACTTCTGTAAATGAAATGTATAATTATATAAGAAATCAATAATGTACAGGACAACAATATTGTAATTTTGCTTCAATCAAAGCTTATAAAAAGTTCTTCTATTGCAAATATGAACGACAGAAGTTTATAAATGTTCTTTTTTTTGGTCATTAAAATAGTGAATTACAATTTCACAACAATTTCCGACATCAAAGTTGTAGCTCATATTGCTTTAAAAAATGCCCTTTCTTCTTTTTATATAGTGCTTAAATATTTTCCTATTATGTTAAACACCTCAGTAAATTTGACCTTTAGATCATGATGTCCAAACTGTGTCAATCGTCAGAGCTTGTCATCTTTTTTTCTTAAGCCGTGAATGTGGAATTGATAAGATAGGTGACACGCTGCTTTGCAGTGATGATGGGTTTTGTATATAATATATCATCACCTGGTAATAAAAGTAGTTTCTGGATGTTAAAAATGCCAAAGAACACTCCATTTTGACGTTCCACTGTCAGGAATCTGCTCATATGTTTTCAAACCTGATAGGTTAATTGCTCTATCTGGGGATAAGTGACAGCTATCGCTGTGCATATAGTCTTTTTAAAAAAATCATTGTATGTAAATATTTTAACAGAAGAAGACAACGAGGATAAGGATAATCATTAAAGGAAGGGCCCAACAGTTTAGTGCTTCAGTCATCTTAGTTTATTAAAAGCCTAAATTACACTTCACTGTCATACCGTTCTAGTAGAACCTTTAACTAAGAAGTTCCTAGTCATTATAAAAGGTGTATTGGAAGTAGAAGATATATGTAAAAAAAACAACAATTTTTTTTTTTATTTTCAGTGCATTCTAGAGATCTTTGATGATAATAAAATCAAATAATCATACATTGAAATAATTAGGGGTACGTTTGCTATAGTATCATTTTAAGATTTGCTAAGGAATGATTTTTTTAACATCAGTTGTGCAATAGCAGGGGTTTTCAATTGATCAAATTGTATAAAGCCCAAAAGGCTTCAAGGTAAATATGATCAGTTAACACTTATCTTGAAATCGTAATGCCTCTTAATCTAAAGCCTGTCTTCCATCGGTAATTGGTGGCATCCCAAAATTCTCGAAGGGACGATAAACAATAACCGAATTAAACAGGTTATAATAACAAAGTAAAAGCGAATATACAGTGATCAATTATGACGTCACTATTAATTTACATGTACCGTTCATGACATCACAATCAACCTTTTATCACTGGACGAGAGTGATAAATACAAAGAGTTGCAGGATATTTCAATGTGAAATCATGCAGTATAAACTTTTTTTATATATAGATTTAGCTATAGTTCTCAGTTTGTTTTCTCATTTGTTTTGATTTTCTTTCTATATTAGTTTCTGAAATACAATTTTTCCCTTTGTAATTATAGCCGTACGTCCTTCCCTCCCTCCATCCGTAACACTTGGTGGTACCCATCTCTTATCTGCAACTCCTTCTATACCACTGAATAAAATTAAATGAAACTTTCATAGAATCTTTATTACATAGTGTCATTGTGCTTCTCCTTTTCCACATTTTAATCGGTCAGATATTTGGGGTTTTCCCATAGCATAAGAATTGACACTGTAATTCTTTCTATAATATTGGGAATACCATCTCTTCTCTGCTTCATTCCTACAATACCAATGAATAAAATGAGACTTTTACAGAATCTTTATTTATAATGCCATTGTGTACCTCGTATTTCATGTCAAACAGACTTTTGGTGTTTTCCTTAGCAAAAACTAAAGACTGCAATTCTTTCTATGTAATATTACGGGATACTCATTTCTTATCCGCAACTCCTTCTATAACACTGAATAAAATTTAATGAGGACTTCATTGAATCCTTATCATAGTGCCTTTGTGCATTTTATGAGCGCAGTGCTTACAGCACCTCTAGTTTGATAACTTGTATCAAATTAAGTCTCCTCGTCTTTCAAACAATCGAATTGAGATTCAATATATATTGTGCAAACTTTCAATTTTAAGAGGAATCAGGAAGTTAAAAAAATGTTCCCTACTCTTTCATATATAAATTTTGAAAAGTTTGGGCTTATTTGAAGTTTAGTTCAATGAGGTGGGTAATATAACATTGTATAATTGATCTTAAAATTTATATATATCATGCTTTGTGGAACAAAATTGCTATTGAAGTTACTCAAATTTCTTTTGGGTAATAATGATTCATCTCGTATGTAGTTAAACTTGCTTAAAACCACTCTTCTCGATGTAAAGTGCACAGATTTATCTCTCTCTCTCTCTCTGGTATTCAATATATATATATATATATATATATATATATATATATATATATATATATATATATATATATATATATATATATATATATATATATATATATATATATATATATATATAATATCCAAATTTAAATGAAAAAACTCAAACTTTAATCTATAGAGCTTTCGCCCCATGCGGACTCATCAGTAGATTTTTTTACTACTTCTGATGGGCCTGCTTGGGGTGATAGCGCCATAGATAAAAATTTGAGTTTTTCATTTAAATTTGGATTTAATTGTATTTCTATACCAAGGAAAAATATTTTATTGGATATATATATATATATATATATATATATATATATATATATATATATATATATATATATATATATATATATATATATATAAATTGTCAGACTGTTGTAAAGAAAACTAAGTAACAGATTGTAATTCTCTTACCGACAAACAGTTTGATTTATGTCACATGTATGTTTACTTCATTAAGCTCTGTTTGTCTATTTTGGATTACCATAGCAGTTCTTTAGTTCTCTCCTAAATGAGTTTGATATGATAGTGTTTTGTTATTTTGTTGCCATGTTAGATTTTGATCGATCAACTTATTAATTCTGATTTTTGGGGATAATATACAGTTTTTCGTGTTTTTAGTGATATAATCAATTTATATTACCTTCCGTATAGATAAATTAAAAAGAGACGTGTTTTTCACTGACTTTGCTAGTTGAAAATAACTTAATACCAGAAATTGATTATGAAAGATTTTTAAATTGATTTTATATTCGACATCATCCTTAAACATGCAGTAAATTATTCACATATACCACTGTAAACAGTAATTCTACACCACCATTCAATGTTTCATGCTTGGAAAGCCAAGTGTCAATAATATTGTTTATCAACGCCACAATCTGTGTTTAATCTCTTGAAGACATCATCACGTAACATATCAATTCTATGTAAAATTCTATCCATTTTACATAGAATGGAAAACGACAAGTAGAAAACAATATTTGAATATTTATATCTATACATATTCATGTATATTTTATTTCGAATATCACAGTTTTCATAATGTTTAGGCACATCAAAAATGTGCAAATTTATTTTTCAACAATCAAAACTCCGTCATTTATACATAAATCTCCACTCTTCTATTCAAAATAGGCGTCAAATCTAACTAGCAATATTGCACATCTCACAAAAAGTTTCCATAGGAGCAAAGTAATCACAAAGTGTTGGAATGCAAAACAGAAACAAAACAAATAAACAGACTTCAACTTTCTTCTACTGAATTGCACCAATAGCCGCAACGTGTTAAAATTTTAAAACTCCTTGTAATGGTAGGATACTTTACAAAATTACAAAATAAAAGCATCCCAACCAATATAAAAGTGAGTTCTTAAAGTGCTGTCCAACTGTACATCAACAAAAAAATGGAGACATGATAAATACAACACATAAAGCACAATTATGAAAAAGCACCACAACACAACTCACTGTAAATCACACAGTTTAAAAAGTTTTTTTTTCTCCACAAGAGATCATTTGAAGGATTTCAACACCGCATACTATGCTTTTCGTTCCATGTTCATTTTCTATCATCATTGCCCTATATTTCTTGCATTGAAATAATAGCTAACCAATATATATGCGTGCCAAAGCAAAGTTCTTATACAAATCACAAAATTATTAAAAAAAAAAAAAAAAAAAAGAAGAAGAAGAAGAAGAAAATTGCATAAAATGCACTTTGGTAACCACTTATAGTGCAAAATCCCAAAATGATATAAAGTCGCAATAGTGTATGCTTTTTCATCCATTAAATTAATGATAAAATTTTATTTAGCTTTATCATTAATGGACACTCATCATAACCAAACTCCAACCATAAAATGGTAAAATCTTTATCCACAAATGACATAATTTGTATCGTTAGGAGACGAATCGTCAAGGTGCTTGGTTGATGATAAAATTTTATGTTTAATGGATGACATTATAACTACTATTGCTAAATATTATTAGTGGATTAATGCAGTGCACTAATATGAAATTGTTTTAAATCAAAGGAAAAACATGTTATTCCCCACTTCTTGTAGTAGCACGATAAGTCATTTATAAATGACTTATTGTTTAAAGTATATATATATATATATATATATATATATATATATATATATATATATATATATATATATATATATATATATATATATATAAGACTAGGATGAAAAGCAACAAAAACTCTCCGGAAAAGACGTCTACTTCAGTTTTTTCTTCTGCATTCGGCACATAGAAAGACCCTATGTCCAGGAATCTTAGATCCATTCCTTTCTTGAAAAGAAGCACATTTTCAATTGCCTTTCTTCAAAATTGTTTTTAAGAGCAACCACATCTGACAACTTTCATTCTCGGTAGCGTTGTGAGTTGAAGTCTGGACGTATGATCAAAGTATAACATTCTTAAATTTGCCATCCGAACAGGCGAACAACAGGGTCCTGGGTTATTTCCAATTATCCTGGACTCGGGGACTTGTTGGACAACAGACGAGTGTCCATGGTTACTCATCCCTTCGTCTCTACATTCTCCCGCGCAGTAATACGCGTCGTACCATTTAGGTGCAATGACGAAATCCCATCCAAATTCTATGAAACTTACGGTAAGCGGGTATCTACAACAAGCCTCGAACTGGTTTTGTTCGTCGCACGTGAGTCCTATTGATCGCTTCCTACGGACATGTGCTGTAGTCGTCGTTCGTAAATCCAAGTTTGGTTCCTGGAAAAATATTTTCTTTTCGTCAAACAATTGAAAAAATACGTATATTCATTAAAACAATATGCATGTGAAAAGAAAAGGCGTAAAGAAATTCCACTCAACGAGTTTCTTTTTTTTAAATTAAATATTGGAAACTAAATTATCTCCGACGAAATGGAAGTAAAATTGTGTAGTCGGTTTATTAACTTAATGGATATCAGATGTTTTGAAGTAATAAATAACCCTGTATACTCCTATAAATAGATGGCCATTTGCCATTAGTTATAAACAGCACAGGTGTTAATTTTTGAGTGGCGAAAAGTACATGAGAAGTAGAAACGTATATAAATATATACGTGTCAACTTACTGCTCTAGATCAATTAGGTCAACTGACCACTCTCTACGGGCAAAAATGGGGAAATGCTGATGCTGCTTTTTGTTATTTGAAGTGAATTTTTCTTTTATGTTATAAGATAATTGTAATAACAAGAGATCTACCGTCATCTCAAAGGATAATTTTTCTTTTGTTATAAATTATTACAATTTTATAACAATAAGTACGATCCCCTCACAGGATAAATATTATACATTGTAAAAATAAAAAGAAATGTTCGACATTATTAAAAGCACGAACTATAACGTATGTTGAAACAAAATTTATCTAAAATAACGTAACCTTTAGAGGTACATTAATAAACAAATATCAACATGAATATGTTCATCAAGTTATTGGTAAGCTTATGCCTGAATTTTCAAAATTAGTGTTTTATTAGTTTTAAGTGATAATTTTACTTTCCAAGATTAGAGCATGCTGCACATAAAAAAACCATTAAAAAAAAGAGTTATTTTAGCAGGATTCAAATTCAGTGTTATTTAAAGATTACTACATCCAATATCCATCCAATAAAACATCAAAAAATGTTCACTTACATATCCTTCATTTATTCCAGTGGTTGGTGGAAGAATAATCAAATTCTCGTCATCTGCATCAAATGCCTCCACCACCACTCCTAGATTTGAAGACGGGTCTGAGGTCCATTGATATGCCAGACTAGTGATGTCAAAATGATGCCAGCCGCTGGTCCGTGGAATGTTCTTTTTCCTTTTTTTCATAAACCTTTTGACTGGTGGTCCTCCTTGTTTCCCAGGCGGGACCATCTTGTACAGAAATAATTCCGACACGTTTTTTGGTAAGTTGAATTGACTTCGCGGTGCTATATAAACCCACAGTAATGCCTTATATACGTCTCTATTTTCCAGTATTGGCATATTGAAATATATGGCATTAGGTGTCTGAATTTCCAGAGACGCTGATGCTGTAATGAAAATAAAATTTTGCTTTAGAATAAGTCGTATTTTCTGTAAGTAACATTCTTTCGTTATTTCGACAAGTCTCTGAGTTACGATTATAAGAAATTTTATAGAAAACAGAATTATCAGATTTAATTGCAAAAACGGTTAAATGAATTATATAGAAAACAGAATTAAAAGGATTAATTGCAAAAACGGTTAAATGCAATATATCTTTTCAGCATATTATTTGAAGGTTGAGAAGTGGGTCCTCTATTTGTTTAACGGCATAATACATGCTTGGAGAAAATAACACCATCTGCTCTTCATTTAACATTTGATAACTAATTCTAACCTGTGAATAAGTTTTTTTCAAACAATGTTAGAATCTAAATGATGTGATTTCGGATTCTAACATAATCAAAGATTTAAAAAAATAATGAAATAATTGTAAGAAGAACAATAATTAATAAATACATAAATAAAATATAGCATAATATCATAAAAAGATATTATATATAAGAATATGTCTGTAATCTTTTATTAAATCTTTAATTTGCCTTTATTACATAAAACATTCATAAATTCCTAAATGTGCTGAAAATAGATTTAAAAAAGTATCGTGGTCCCCTTTCCATTTTACTTATCTTTTAGTGAACTTCATGTTTCATAGTTACGCAACACTTTAAGCTAGGTAAATTAACGTTCTCCAAGGTATTTCAAAAAGTAATCGAACGACACCTACGCTATTAGGAAAATGTGAAATACTTACGTTCTTCGGAAAATATATATGTCCTTTCTGCCCTTCCGAATTCGTCTTCCTCGTCTTCTATTTGATCTGCATAAGAATATGGTGCATCTCCTTGCATTTCACTAATAATCTGTTCGCTTTCATATCGTTCACGAAGTCTCTGATAGGATGGCACTTTCGGAATCCTCAAGTCTGTGATATTAGGGATACCCAAAATGTCCAGCTTCAGTGCATGTGCTATTCTATTTTTGATAGATTCAATTCTTATTCTTTTCTGATCCTCTCGAATTCTACAACTCTGACAGCGAGTACGGTTGGAGTTTAATCCATCTGAATCGCTTTGCGATTCGGTGTTTTGTGATAAGATACTCATAATTTGTTCTTGGGTTATATTGCCGGTGTCGTAATGTTGAAAATCCTCTATTGAATCAATGGACTGTGGTAAAACGGTACTAACTACGAGAGCCACTGTGAAGGCTATCAAATAAAAAACGGAATTAAGATTTGCCGGCATCTTGTACATTAAAATCAGCTGATCGTTGTTCATGTAGTTGTCGGTTCTGTTCCAGATGAGTAATTGCGGCGAAAGGGAGCTAGCTTTTATACCAGCGGTCAAGCTACACTCGGCCAAAAGATTTGACAGGTGTGAAACCTGATTAAAAAAGGGTCATAATATTTTTTTTATATGTAAACAGAAAAGGACAGCAGTATCATAAATTTTCGTGACATTCTTTCCTTCTAGACCGAGGCATTTGTAGATAAAATATTTCAGTAAATTCCTCTTAGAAAATCAATTTTTCGTAGATTGCATGATAGTTCTTTTTTTAAATCCTCACTGCAAGCTGCAAACGTTTTTATATAAATTGGTGAAATAAAGTTGTGTAAATATTTTATTCCTTATCGCATGCATCCATTGAATGTTTTAAAGTCCTAGAAAAAATAAAAATACCCCGACTATTGATCTGCTGATGTTAACATCATTCTAAGCAGTGCCTCTGTATTGCCCGTTTTATGGCTTTAATGGTATGAGAGGTCAAGGCCTTTGACTAATTATTCCCTGAAAAAAAATCTTCGACATCATCGTGCTAACAGCTAGTCAAAAACATTGAACAAGTAACTGAATATCCAAAGAATTCATCGAAAATCCAGCATTACATTTTAATAATTGTTGCAGATAATTAACCTATAAAATGAAATATATCTTTAATAAAAGAATCGATGTGTATCATTACATTAATCTTTTTAAATTCTTTTTGTTTAAAGATTTCAATTTTACCTGTCAAGAGGGTTTATTTTGTTTGATTATATCCACTGTAGCCTTATTTTACATCACTTCATACACTAGATTCTATTCTAAGATATATATAAAAAGGGAATACGCTCTCATTACTTGTTAAAATGTTTTATAGTAAAGTGAAAGAGGATGTTATCTGAAAGGCAGAGACCAAAGTAACCCCGGGTACTTGTATACACGGTATATCTTATATATATATTACCTAAGTCTCTGTAACAAAAATTGTAGGAAAAGCTATTTTTTTTAAAAAGGCGTACTATTGACTATACTATTAAAATTAAATTAAAGTTACCATGTGTTGGAAATTTTCTTCATAAGTTTGGAGTTTGATTTTTTTAAAAATTAAAATTGTATCATTGCAACGTTATCGTAGTGGAACAATCATAGTTTTTTTCCCAATGGATACACTATTTTTTTTCCAGTGAGCCAATAAAATTTACCTAAATCCTTCTATAGAATGATTCAAAAATAAATAAATAAATAAATAAATAAATAAATTATCTTTTCGGAAGCAAAGGATTATATAAATTTATTTATAATACATATTTTCTCGCATTTTAGTTTTCAGTTGACGGTTTTACGATCCCAAATTATGACACGATATCTTCTTTGTAGCCAATGCAGACATTTATTAGCACAAAATAGGCACTCAAGGAATTGTAGTGTGTTTTATTCTGTATTTGAATCACAAAAAGATACCTGATACCTGGATCATCTATCCTCGACAGTTTTGTCACTTAGAATAATTTATACATTTATTATGGTTACTTAAATGTATACGATGGCATCAGACATTTAATATAAATCATACACCTTCATAAATTTTCGTACCAGATTAACAAAGCATACAGGTTAAACATTTGAGAAACTTGTATACTTTATCAAAACTGACAGGATTTCTTGCCACATAATAATAATGTGCTTATGATCAGAAACGCAAGGTTTTGACACCTTTGTTAGGTATACAATGTCTTAGCCTGGGGTGTATTATGTTAATTACGTCAGCATGTATGTTTTTGCACATTTTGAACAGATTTTTCATTGTAATCAGTTCAATGTAACTGGGTGTTTACTGACATGAGGAGTGCACGTAATATCACAATATTATTTGTGCAAGCAATATATTTATTGTAAAATTGTTTAAACAAAACACAAAAAAACTTTGTGAATTCTCTTTATGTTATCAGGGGTCAGGGTTTACATACTGTATAAAACCCAGGGATAAAATCGGTATTTATTAATTTTTTTCAGTCTGCAAAGCTATATACATTACATGTATGTATTACAGATGAAATGATAATTGCTATATAGGACAAATATTTAGTAATATGGCGTACGCTGTGAAATTTACTATTTAGGAATGCAATTTAATTCTATTTAAATATTTATTATAAATTTACTTTTATCTCTTAAAAAGAGTTTTCTTACGTGGACTCGGAAAATGGATTAAAACAATCTAAAGAATCGAGGAATTTTGTGACATAAGGATTATTTTTATATGGTTAATCACAAAAAAATAATGAAATATATAATTAAAACATAAATAAGTAAATTTACTGTAAGATATTGTATTTAGAAATACCACTATACTTTGTAATGTGGACATATTTAAGTAAAAAAAAATAATAAAAACGATATTCATACAAGTTGTAAATTTCCTATTGGAGTTGAAATTCTGAGTTTTGGATGCATGATTATTTGCATTATTTAAGATGTCAATTATCCTTATTGGTTTTCAACTAAGTGAGCACCTAGCTAAAATCATCTAAGGGACATACGCAACGTACCTTACCATCTGATAATTTTTCAAGATAATCTGAATTTAAGATTATAGTGCCATCAGATGTTCATAGACAAAAAATCAGCATGCATTGTCAGGGGTTTTCAAAAGATATCAATTGATGAAAATTTTTGTATAATTCAAAGAGAAATATACAAAAACTAGATATCATTGAGATGGTGGCCATCTCAAAGGGCCCCGCTTTCAGCAATGAACATAAAAATGTAAGGTAGCTGAAAAGGGTTTATTTTGAAGAGGAACATTTGTGTACTATTACGAGATGTGTTGTTTGAGTCTAAAGGGCTTCTATGTCATCCTTTTTATAATAAAAAATGGCACGAAAATCACGAGTGCTCCATACCCTCTATCAAAAAACGGCACAAAAATTACGGATGTTGCACATCCTCTATCAAAATATGGAAGGAAAATCACAAATGTTTATTGTTATTAAATGTTAATTGGTAAAGTTTTAGGCTGACTGGACTTAAGGGAAAGAAATTATGCACCAAGCAAAAATTTTAACAGAGAAACTATTTTTGGCCTTGACCCTTGACCTAGAAACATTTTTCAAGGTCACTGCACATCCACTGACCAGTGGCACTCTGTGAGTGAAGTATGAGCCACATTGGACCAAAAGGAGAGGAGATATGCTCCGAACAAGGATTTTTCATATAATTCTGCTATGACCTTAACCTTAGACCTAGAAACATAATTCAAGGTCACTGCACATCTTTTTCCCAAAGGTACTCTGTGGCTGAGGTATGAGCCAGATTCGGTCAAAGAGAAAGAAAATATGCTCCGGACAAGAATTTAAACAGAGAGGCTATTTTTGACCCTTGACCTAGAAACTTAGTTCAAGGTCACTGCACATCCATTGACCAGTGGCACTCTATGAGTGAAGTATGAGCCACATTGGACCAAGGGGAGAGGAGATATGCTCCGAACAAGGATTTTTCATATAATTCTGTTATGACATTAACCGTAGACCTAGAAACGTGGTTTAAGGTCACTGCACACCCTTAACCCATAGACACTCTGTGGGTGAGGTATGAGCCAGATTGGGCTAAGGAGAGAGAAAATATGCTCCAGACAAGAATTTAAACAGAGAGGCTATTTTTGACCTTGACCCTTGATCTAGAAACTTAGTTCAAGGTCACTGCACATCCATTGACCAGTTGCACTCTGTGAGTGAAGTATGAGCCACACTGGACCAAGAGGAGAGAAGATATGCTCCGGACAAGGATTTTTCATATAATTCTGCTATGACCTTAACCTTTGACCTAGAAACATGGTTTAAGGTCACTGCACACCCTTAACCCATAGACACTCTGTGGGTGAAGTATGAGCCAGATTGAGCCAAGGAGAGAGGAGATGCTCCGGACAAGAGATCTCGGACGGACAGACGGACGGACGGACGGACGGATGGACGGACGGACAGACTGATCACTATGGGGCGCCTGCAGAGCGGGGCCCTAATTACTAAACATATATTCTAGATGTTTTGTTTATCCAAACTTGTTTTAGAATAAGTTTACAACAACATATATAGACATTAAATGTAGCACACACTTCCTTTAAGTAATGGAACTCTTCAACTCCAGGGAAAAAAGACAATAAAGTTCAAACTACGTTGCGTATGTCCTTAAAGTTTCAACTTTTCATACTGTTTGCAGCATATTTTTCCCAATTGATTTCTGATTTTTGAAATCAATTTCACAATGTTACACCATACCATTGAAAATATGTTATCTACACAATTTGCAGAATTTAGATTTCACAATGTATTTTTGTTAAAATAATATTGTTTTTATTTATGTTACATTGTTTGATGTCTAATTTTCCTTAATTTTCTCTCTAATAGAGATTTCTTGAAATTAATTGTATATTTTACAATACTAGCAAAGTCATATAGAAATTGAGTTTGTTTGTACATTCTATCTAAAATCTTGCCACATATTCTTATAATTTAATTTTGTTTGTAACACGTCATATGATTGGGCAAAAGATTTAGTTTATATCGTATAACCTATGTTGCCTACGTCACAATGACTTACGTCGAAAACGTATCGATCCGATTGACGTTACATTTAAAATATGTACAATTTGAAGGAATTATATATATATATATATATATATATATATATATATATATATATATATATATATATATATATATATATATATATATATATATATATATATATATATTAGTTAATTAAATGTCAAATGCCTTGAGTGACAGTTGAAACTATAAATAATTCTTTTTAGCATGATTTTCTTATCAAAATAAGTTAGGTATCAATTTATAATGACATACAAGTCACATCTTAAAAGTAAATGAGTCAGGATTGTGAAATGCCACACTGGTCCCGAAACCCACTCCACCTTTATGAATTCCTGCAGTGAAATTATCGTCTTCTTTTATAGAGTGTAAATATAGAATATCTTTTTCTAGTGTTTTATTAAATATTATCATTATTTTTGAGGGTGGATTCTAATAATTCCACAGTTACTTGTATTTTTAAGAGATTTTGAAATAAATAAGATAAAATATTCTATCTTTCTTAACATACACAAATATCAATAAGGCCTATTTAGTTTTTAAGTTGATGCTGACCATGTAAATTCTTATTATCTTATCCTTATAAAATAATAGGTAAAGTAATCCGTTCTAAATGTATACATTCTTTGATGATTTCATTTACGTGTAATGTAGGAGGTAGATAGGAATGCACAGTAAATATTTGGCAGAATTCTTAACTATTAAAATTCTTGGCTATTCCGAGGTTCAATAAATATAAATTGATGATGAAACGAGGCTTGGTTTTATGTGAAGGTTGCCTT